CCCACCTTATCTTTGATAAGCGATGGTAAAACTAGAGAACGCTAAAATAAAACCTCTACCAACCAGGTACGTCAGCCCCACCTCTCCACCAGTACCACAGGGCTTCCAAGCTCTCCGTGGCCAAGTTCAAGTCAAAAGACAGCTAGTCACCACCACGCAGAAGGCAGAGAGCAGGATGAGGGACTGAAGGAGGAATTAATGGCAAAGGCAGGTCACAAGAACAAATTTCTGCACACGCTGCTACTGCAGCTTCCATCTGCTAGCTCCTTCATATGCCTCTAGGGAAAAATAACTCCTTTGTGAACTTGTGCCCCCCAAAAAAGGGACTAACGATTATGAGAGCAATGACTATTGAGAAGCAGATGCAGGGGAGAATACTCTTTGATGATTAGATGGCGATTAGTATAGAAATGATGTGTACTGGCAAAAAAAAAGCATGCTCAAAGGTAAATAGCTAAGGATGAGGGTTTAGTCATGGCACTAATTCAGAACAGAGCAAACATTTAGATAATTACAAAACAGCCCCAGACAATAGTGGCCAGCAGGTCGGGGGAGGAGGTGATCCTTCCCCTCTGCTCAGCACCGGGGGATCACATCCGGGGTACTGCCTCCCGTTCCGGGCTCCCCAGTACGAGAGAGGCACAGCCACACCGGAGAGAGTCCGGCAAAGGGCTGCCAAGATGATGCAGGGACTGGAGCATCTCTCCTATGAGGAACAGCTGAGGGAGCTGGGACTGTCCATCCTAGAGAAGGTTCAGGGAGGACCTTGTCAATGTATACAACTACCTGAAGGGAGGGTGCAAGAAGGATGGGGCCAGGCTCTTTTCAGTGATGCTCAGTGGCGGGACCAGAGGCAACAGGCACAAACCGAAACACGGGAGGTTCCCTCCGAGCATCGGGAAACGCTTTTCACTGTGAGGGTGACTGAGCACTGGCACAGGTTGCCCAGAGAGGTGGTGGAGTCTCCATCCTTGGAGATATTCAAAAGCCACCTGGACGTGGTTCTGGACAAGCGGCTGCAGGTGGCCCTGCTTGGGCAGTGGGGTTGGACCAGATACATCCAGAGGTCCCCTCCAGCCTCAGCCACCCTGTGATTCTGTGACTTCCCACCAGCCCTTCAGTTCCTTGTAATTAGCTGTTACCACTGGAAAAGAGCTAAATTACAGTCCATCCGATAACAGTGCCATAATTAGATCTAAATGAGACTCAATAAACCATCGTACACCTTAACCCTGCTGTTACACAGAGTGAAAAATCACCGACTTAAGGATCAAGCTGTATGCAAAAGCAAACAGTCACAAGACTGCGTCATGGTTATACACACAAATGACCAACTACCGCTACAGAAAATTTTGTTACAACCTAATGAGGGTCGTTTGCTCTGCAGCTCAGAGCAAAGATGGAGCTGTCTTTAAAGTGTCTGCAAACCTAAAGCAAACCCAACTATTTGCACGGATGTGATGCTGGTACGCAGAATTGATCACTGGCACCCTGTACTACATTGCCTTACTATCACTAAATGTATTTGATTTCAGGTGTTGAGGCCTCTGGTTACCCACCTTTGAGGGTCGGCCATCAAATCGGGGTGTAACACGGCTCCAGGGGGGAGAAGCGCCAACGTTCAAGCAGCAGTCGCCGTTCGACAGCTCTTTCTGCAGGAGAGAGCTCGCTAACCAGAGCACGCAGGCATAGGAGATGCACGTATACAGCAAAACATGAAACCTCGCATCACACCATTTAGCTTGTAAATGGCAGGAGATGAGAATCAGCCTACAAAACTAATCTACCCCCCAGGAGAGGGACAAAAGGGATGCTTCCCTCTTGAAATCTAGGCAATTTTTTTAAAAGTTGTTTGCTATCATAGCAGTCGCCTCTGCAAAGTCTCTTACTTCGCTACATGCATTCTCACCACAGGAATTAAACAACGTTCCTGTTGATCTTTACAAAAGAAGTGGCCTTCAAGAGTGCAAAACACAAGGACTCTTTGCTCAAGCTGCTTCTAGAAGACACAGGAAGGAGAAATATGATAGATTAGACAAGAAAGTATTCAAGGCTATCAGAAAGCAAATATTAAAAATGATCATTCAAACTATTATCAGACAGACAAAATACAGAGCTGCTTTTTTGCACTTACAAAAAAAAAATATTTTACATGTGCAGACCATACAGCAAGCAAAGAGGTTTAAAAGTGCCAGCCACCTAAAGACAGACGTGGATGATACAGTTGAGCAAAAATGCTGCAACCAAAATGGTTTTAGCACAAGGGCTCTATCAGCTTGTCTAACACGAGACACTTTCCCAGCCACAAACCTTCCCCTGACCATATTGAGTCAGCGCTTGAACACCCCTTTTTCACCTGAAACGAGCGAGAGCTTGACAAACGGTGCATCAGTGGAAAAAGTCACTGTGCAGAAATTATTGTCTCTTAGATGTCTGCTTTTGTTAAACAGATGGGAAAGAAAAAGATGGAAGGACGCGAGAGTGGGAAATCAAGGACTGTTTTCTTCTTTCTAGCACAACATCAAATCACCATTACTAGTACCCGTTAGATTGAGAACACACATCAAAAGGCTCAAAGCATAATTAGTCTGTGAGAGAGGGAGGAAAATACTGGTTTCCAGCTGTCTGGCTTCACAAATATGAACTAAAATGCTTTCTGTTTGACTTGGCCACACACTTCAAGCAAACTGTATCTAGTGAGATCATTTACAAGTTGAGGAATATCATATGTAACTGTTTTCCATCCCGGAACAGATATTAGAAGTTCGCTAAAGCTAAGGACTAAGGGAGGAGGAGGAGAAACAACCCATACTTCCACACAGAAATCTAATCAGTACGTAGGAGAATAAAAACATGCGATAGTGGGAAACTGCAGACGGGATTGCTCTGCGAGCCGTCACAGTAAGCACGATACACGCCACGCTTCAGGTGTTAAAGCAGTCAAGCAGGGAGAGGTCTTTCGTTTCCCCAAATTGTGGCATATTCCTACCTCTGACGAGACAATTCTCAATAGAAGAGACTTAGGGACCACGTGTTCCACTGCTTCCCCCAGCCCCAAATCACTGTCAGCTCACCTAGAGAAAGACCACTAACTCTCCTCAGTTGGAGGCCCCATCATGGTTTGGGTTGGAATGCACCTTTGAAGGTCACCTAGTCCAACCCCTTGCAGTGGTCAGGGACATCTTCAACTAGATCAGGTTGCTCAGAGCCCCATCCAACCTGACCTTGAACGTTTCCAGGGATGGGGCATCTACCACCTCTCTGGGCAACCTGCTCCAGCATTTCACCATCCTCAGCATAAAACATCTCTTCCTCATATCTAGTCTGAATCCACCCTCTTTTAGTGTAAAACCATCACCCCTTGTCCTGTCAAACAGCTCCCTAAAGCGAATCATCCCTCTGCCAAAACTGACTTACGCAGAGCAACCTTCTCCGGAGAAGCAGAGAGAGGTCCACTTGTACTTGTTGAGAGTCTCCGGATGGGAAACACGGACACATCTCCCATGGAAACAACTAGAGATATATCCAGTTGATAAATAACCACGCTCGCCACGTTTTCTTTTTTGACATTTTTATTAATCAAAGACAGCACAACTTCCATATTTTGAGTGATCAGCGAGATGCCAGGATGCTTTCATAGCTAAGAGAAGCTCAACCAAAAGACACATCGCAGAATACATCACAGATTTGGAGTAACACCCTCGTCACGACTGGGCAAACTGGTGTCACCAGCACCCTGCAGAGCACAAGCACGGGTCCTCGGAAAGAGGATACGCCATTGGCAATGGACCACCACTCTTGCAGGGACATGCCCAGAGCTCCAGAAGAGAAAAAGGAGAATTTGACGTTGTACCTGACCGAGAGGGTCCCTAAGAACTGGAGAAGTATCAGAGGTCTGTCTCCGCCACCGAGGCAGAGCAATGTACAGAATATTTCAACTTCAGACCTCTTCCGTATACAAACCGAGCGGGTTTTATTCATGCTATATAAATACGCGACTATTTTGTATTGCTATTTATAGAGTTGCATAAAAGTCAAAATATAAAGCTCTGCAAGGTTTCATTTAATACTCTTAGGTAGAAGCTTGAAGGGTTAAGTTTACATGTCACTGTTTTCAACAAAAACCCAAAAGCTAATTACCCGGCAAAATTAACTAGACGTGCCATTTGAATTCCGTAGCATTTTTCAAACAGTTTTCAGTATACCAATAACCACTCAGTGCAAAGCACATGCTTAGTTAAAATCCTAGATGGGCTAAAGTGTAAGGAAAATTAAAAAAAGCAGCTAGCACGTGTTGTCTGCATGCTCACGGAAATATAAAAAGAGGGAAAAGTGTTTCTCACTGATAGCATTGTTTTGGTTTAAGAAATGTAAATGCTTTCTCCAAAAATAACGGTACTTACAAGGTTATATTATTTGTATAAAGGAAAAAAAAAGTTACAATGATGGGAACAGAGTCTGTATCACTTGAAATTAAGTATTTCCATACTCATTATGAAGACTGCAGCAAGCTTACACTTCTGATCCAACATTTCTTGTGTTGAGGGCAAATCCACTGCTTGGCGTATGACAAGGTAGCATTGAAAAAACCCCTCCCAAAACAAACCTCAAACCAGAAATCCCAACCAAAATTAATGACAACTTATGGGACAGTAAGAAACAATCATTTTCCAGCAAAAACCCAATAGTATTCCTTCCCTTTCACATCACCCCCTGAAGTTTGCCCAGGTTCTCCACAAGATAACGCTACTTCGTAACAAGTTATTTTCCCCATGAATACGGCAGGCCAAAACACCCAAATTCCCTATAACTGGTAACAATATACATCTCCTTCCGATGAATGGAGACAGTGATTTAACAGATGGAACCTTAGGAAACAGAATTTAAAATTAAAAGGTAATCTTTCAGCCCACAGTTAGAACTGAAAATGCGAGAAGTACAATTCAGAAAGAGTTAAGGATTTTGTATAATTTCAGCTTGAAAGTACGGCTTACAGATTCTTACAGAAGCATCCATAACATGGTTATTGCAGAGGCAATACTGAAGACTGCTTTGTTAACCCCAATAATTGAGCTCTCGTTACACAAGTCGTGTTGGCAGCAAAAGAATTCGAAATTATCCAACTGGAAGAATTGGGCAATATCATTAATACTGCACTGGGATGCCTTCCAGCAGGAGGAAGTTCTCAATTTACCTACGCAAAAAAAAAAAAAAAAAATTAAACAGATTAAGAGAATATTGAAAGGAATACCATTTTTGGCACGGAGAGAGAATCACTGCTGAGAGTGCCACATACTTGCTTTTTTAGCTTCTTTTCAAGTGTTTAGAAGTTTCCAAATTTGCCTTCACTAGGCACTTAGTAGTGCAAAGAGCGATAGCAAGCCATGGCCCTGCCTCCACAGCGCGCTCTTGTAGCTCTTAGCCAGAAGTTAAGAAAGATTTCCAGCTCAAGCTAACCAGTGCTTCCAATTTCGTCCAAATGCCCCACTGGGAGATACAGGGTGGAGACTGAGTGACACCTGCCCTGGGGCTGCTGACAGAGGAGGACAGCTAGCTCAACTTGCATTGCTCTTGCATTGTCCTACAGCAACGCCATTCTCCCTCCACAAAGCTCAGAGCGAGTCTGCTAACTCAAGCTAGCTTTTGCGCTGAAGACAAGTCCCATCAGATCTGACCAGCCTCATTTCCAGAGGCAACATGCAGAAGACAGAGCTTGAAAAACAGAAGAGCCCTTCCTTTCTCTTGCTCATTCCCCTGGACACCAGAGGTTGTCTTCCATCTTCCCTAGCTTGACACCTCAAGCACTCAACTCCTGACTCTGATGATGGACAACCGCCGTAGGCTGCATGCTAGAAAGCCTACAGTTTGTGTTCATGAAGGTTTATGTGCTACAGAAAGCCTACAGTTTGTGCTCATGAAGGTTTATGTGCTACAGAAAGCCTACAGTTTGTGCTCATGAAGGTTTATGTGCTACAGAAAGCCTACAGTTTGTGCTCATGAAGGTTTAGGCTCAAGGCAAATAGCAAAAGAGGAAATTCCTTAGGACGCAAGCAGCACAGAGCAGCAGCCTGGTCCACCAGTGCTAGAAGCTTCCTTCCTCCACGCCAAGTCATGAGCTTTAGCAGGGACCATCCTGGGGAACAGAGCAGTCCCACCCCATCCTGGTTCCTGCTGTCCAAAGCCAGCCCAACAGTCTTTCCAGAACAGGGGGAACCAGTTGGGAAAGGAGATTATTTCAGTTGACTCGGTACTTCTGGTTTTCCAGTGATCCCCCTGGCACTGGTAGTAAGAGTTACTTAAACGTTATTTAACAACAGTAACTTTATGCCCTGAATATCCCCGACCACCTTCCTGAGACGCAGGTCGCTTCACCCTCAGGAAAAGAGAATTTATTTTAATAGCATCAATTCATAAATGACTGAGTCTTCATATTTTGTGGGTTACACGTGCTTTATCTGGTTGTAAAGTGTAACAAGTTTAGGGCAAAGGTTTTGTATTTTGAAGTCATTGCTGTCTCCTATTTGTTTTCAGCTCCTTTAGGTGGTGGGGGTTTTGTTGTTTTCTTTTTTTATTTTTTTTTTAAATCTGGATCTACAGATACCTGTGTATACGCTTGTACAATTTTAAATCAGCTATCTCCATCATCATTATCTTTCTCAGTTGCCTGGAAGTCAAAATATATCAATTTACTATAAGCATGACCTTCAAAAATATCTGCAACCTTATTTTGAGTGAGGCTAAGGAATGCATGCTAAGGCCAGATTAGAAGCACACAAGCAATGAAAACGGATATAAACATGTTTGGTTTAGGTCTGTAGGACAGTATACATACCAAATTTCATCTGCAAGCAAGTATCTTCAGTTGCTAAGCAAGTACTATTGGTCTTGCATAAGGAAGGGCTGTTCTCGCAGTGGTAACACCTTAGGGCATAACCTAAGAAGACAGGGGGTTATCTTTACTGAATAATAAAGTACTGAAACAGTAGCAGCATTAAAAAGGAAAAAAAAAAAAAAAAAAAGAAGAATCACCACCTGCATCTACCTGTCACAAAACATATGCCTGGTTATTAGAGTCAAGCTAAAATTTACAGGCGTTTGTAGGTGTACAAATCGAGACTGGCAATTCTGAAAGGAAGATCTGAAGCACGTACTTACATCATTCTTAAAACCACTTACCTTTATGTCCCTGCAGAATAATATCTTAAATGTTTGCTGCTTTCATCTACTCTTAAAGATTGCCTTTTGCAAAAGGACAGGCAAGAAGAGACACTTCTGGTAGAATTTTATTCTATCCCTTTTTTCTCTCACCTCATTTCTCTCCTACGCTACACATCTAGTTTCCAATTTCCGCTCTCCCAGCAGCAAACCAGAACGGTCTGTTACCAGATTCAGCAGCATCATATTCTGCTCCCGATTCAATCTTCTGACCAAAGACGATCAGCACCAGAAACTAAACCCTACTTCGATGGCTACTGTCGTTCCCCAAAGCGGTATTAAATAATCCAGGCCCTTCTTGATATTTTTTCCTTCTCTGACATTTTTTCCATGATTTCCTCAGCCCCTGTCATAACATCACATCAGGAAAGTACCACTCATACTCACCCGAACTACAAAAGGCAACCAGAACAACGCAGGCGGTTAACAGGATGCGGTTCATCTTGATTACGCTTCTTCCCTAATTTGAAGGCATGAACAGATGTTACATGTTTATTCTATTTAAAAGCTACATAAAAATAGCAAAATACACGGTGATGAACTGAGGTTTCAAGACTTGATTCAGTATGGAACTGAACACATTGGCCCAGAAAATGAGTGAAAGAGAGAAAAGTAACAGCACTTTCCAAGAGAGGATTTTTATTCTGAGAACAGGGGTTTTATTCTGAGAACAGGGGTTTTATTCTGAGAACAGGGGTTTCAGCCCCCACAGGCTGTAAATCGCTCTCCTTTCTCCCCTCTGATTTCACCGTTCAACAGGTCTCTCCATTTCTGACAGCTACAAATTCACCTTACAAAAAGAGAGGCCGTCTGGGGCCCCAATACCTTTTCTTTTGCAGCAGTTCCCCAATGACCCTGGAGCCAGACCGTGCTCCTTTCTCCTCTCTCACAGGGTTGCGAGAGATTTGTCTGCACTAAGGGGGCTTTTGCCTCTCCTCTCCCAAAATTTCTCCCTCTCGCTGAGGGATGGACACATGCAATAACCCCCCAAGTGACTGCAGCGATGGCTCCGGTCCTCCACAATTATCCATCCGTAGCGGTGAGATAGGAAGGTCAGGGTGATTTTTTTTTAACACAGGCAACTCCAAAGCAGGAGTTATTTGATAGACTTCTGCACACAGAGTCTGAATGACAAACAACAATATCTACCACTAAAAAAATCTCCGCTATTGCAGAGAAGAGGCTATTCAGACCAGGTATCAGGCAGATACGGGGGGTGAGAGGGAGAGAGGGACCATACTTTATGCTAGGACGGCATGATTTTGTGTTTGTCTTCAAAGCCCAAGTGGGATTAGAAGTCCCAAAGAATTAAAGGCATCCTGATAACAAGTTTCACTTATGATAAGGCTGCAGCAAAACAGTCACATCGCTGCTCTTGACTCTGTTAATACTGCTTGACGTTCTTTCTATATGCAGCTAAGAACCTAGTGTGACATACCACAATCACACTGGGTTGAAGGTTTTTTCCTCCCAGAAGACTAACTGTGAACTTGAAAAGACAGTTTCACAGTAAACAATACTGAAATGCTCAACCTTAAGTCTAGTTATTTTTTCTACTGGAAAAATATAAACCAACAAAAACAACTCTACCTTTTTTTTTTTTGTTTCCCTGTCTGCATGAGCAGGAAAACCAAGAAAAACAAAACCATAATGTGCAGGACGAGATGATTTTCTGGGGTAAACAACTTTGTGAGAAGCCTTCCAAGACCAGAGAGGCTCATCCCACAGTGACGTGAATCTGCAGGAGTGCCATTAGTCTGGTGGTTAAAGCAAGAGCCGTTCTGGACAGCAACAAGAATCTTCCCGGGAACCTCTCCATCTTCCAGCAGCCCTCCATGACACAACGGTGTCAGCAAAGTGAAACAATTTGGCCTTTTAGCAAAACCAAGTCACGGCCAGAATAAATAGAAGGTAGATTAATAAAAATCATCATAGCCAGCATAATAGCTTTGACAGTAGAAATTCAACCAATCTGTTTTGTTAAAATGAGTAATTTTTTCGGTACTCCTGAATGACAGAGAGATGAGACAACAAATTTTAGCTTTAAAAAATTAATATATATGTATAGACAGCAATTCACAACATGGCTTAAAAGAAACAAGGCAGAAAACATTTCCCAAACTGAATTTTCTAAATTACTGTTTTAGCTGAAGCATCATACCAATCTCAATAACAAGAAACAGCAACTGCGGTAGCAGAAAGCCTTATTGCCTTGGCTGGGAAACAGAAGAATTTCTCTGCAGTCCCACCTGGGAGAGAGAGCACACGTACAAGACCCGGCTGCTGTTTTCATCATAACCCCAGAGCAGAAAGAGGCAAGAAAAGGGTAACTGGGACTACGAGCCGCAATTCCTGCAGGGACTAGGGCGTTTTAGCAGCTGATGAGCTTTGCACCGCTTCGTTTTCCGAGGTAGCTCGTAGCCAGCAACCACCTGGCAGCTGCAACCCGGCTCCCTCCCATCTATTTTTTAAGTTAGCTGCAGCACGCCCCGGGCAGTACCTGCCCCCGTCT